CTAAAAATCAAATGAATAAAAAATCTGATGAACAAAATAAAATGATGAATGTAATAGAATTAGGGGCATGGAAAGGGAGCAGACTGACAATCTTGGGGGAAAAGGGGTTTGGGAGTGCGGGAAGAGATTGGACAAAAATCCTACAACTATGGACGAGGACAGTGGAGGGGTGGTGAGGGCATGGGGTGGAGTGGGAATTGGGTGGAGGGGAGCTGGGGGGGGGAAAAAGAGGAACAACTGTAATAATCTGAATGATAAAGATTTAATTAAAAAAATAAAAAATAAATTTGGGGAGGACATAATTCAGCCTTAACAGCAACAAAAAAAAAAAAAAAGAAAGAAAAAAGAAAAGGAAAAAAAAAGAAAAAGAAAAAAAAGAACACATATGTAATATGACATCTTCAGAACATTTCACCCCAACGCTACAGAATATACATTCTTCTCAAATACACATGGGGCATTTGCAAAGAGAGATCACATGTTAGGACATAGGCTAAGTTTGTACAAATTGAAAAAGTTTGAAATCATATCCAGTGTCTTCTCAAATCACAATGGCATAAAATTAGAAATCAACTATAATAAAACAAACACATGGCGGCTAAATAGCATGCTATTAAACAATAAATGGGTTACTAAAGATATTAAAGAAGAAATAAAAATATCCTGGATATAAATGACAATGAAAACAAAACAATCCAAAATCTATGGGACACAATGAAAACAATTCTGGGAGGGAAGTTCATAGCACTATAGACTTACCTCAAAACACAATAAATGCTTGTAATAAGCTATCTAACCCTACAACTTAAAGAATTAGAACTATAACAGCAAAAAAAGTCCAAATTAAGTAGAAGGAATCTATCTATATAAAACCCTTATATGAAAATCGATTGAATGGCGGAACAACTGGTGGTTATGATGCACACTGACCACGCTCAACACAGGAGCTGCCCCCAGTCCACAGGCTCCAACTAGTGGTGACAGGGGGTGGGGCCAGCAAGCAGGCAGTGCCAGGCCAGCCAAGGCGGTTGTGAGCAGGGGCCCCCAAACGCCCCACCGGTTGCCCCCAGAGGGAGATGACCAGTAGGAGGGGGCAGGGCCTGTGAGTGGGTGGTGCCAGGCCAAGGTGGGTGCAAGTGGGGGCCCTGATCACCCCGCAAGTTGCCCCACAGATTGGTCCTGTTCGCCGTCCAAGCCAAGGGACCCTACTCGTGCACGACTTTTGGGCACTGTTCCTCTTCTATCTATATAAAACCCTAATATGCAAATTGACCAAACAGCAGAACAACCCATCGCTATGATGTGTAGTGACCACCAGGGGGCAGACGCTCAACACAAGAGCTGCTCCCAACCCACAGGTTCTGACTGGCAGTGACAGGGGGTATGGCCAGTGAGCAGGCGGTGCCAGGTCAGCCAAGGTGGGTGCGAGCAGGGTTCCCCAATTGCCCCACTGGTCTCCCCCAGAGGGAGGGGACCAGGGGGGTGGCGGGGCCAGTGAGTGGATGGTGCCAGGCCAAGGCGGGTGCAAACTGGAGGCCTGATCACCCTTCAAGTCACCCCACAGATTGGCCCTCGTACAATACTGATGGGAATACAAACTGGTGCAGCCTCTGTGGAAAACAGTTTGGAGTTTCCTAAAAATATTAAAATAGAACTCCCATTTGGCCCAGTGGTTCCACTTCTAGGAATATATTCCATTAATTCAGAAACTCTCATCAGAAAGAATATATGCACCCCTATGTTCTTAGAAGTTCAATTTACAGTAGCTAAGATCTTGAAACAGCCTAAGTGCCCATCAGCAGATGAATGGATTAAAAAACTGTAGTACATGTATACAATGGAATACTACCCAGCTGTAAAAAAGAAAGAACTCTTACCATTTGCAACAGCATGGATGAACCTAGAGAGCATTATGCTAAGCGAAATAAGCTCCTCAGAGAAAGATAAACAACACATGATCTCGCTCATACGTGGAATCTAATAAACAACATAAAATGATGAACAAAAATAGACCCAAAGACATAGAAACATTGAACAGAATGTTAAACCTCTTGTGTATATTTATACGACCATAGAGAAGATTTGTAGAAATGCATGTGGGCTATAAATATTGATTACGTCATTGCAAAAACAAAGATTTGGTGAAGGTGGGAGTCAGGACATATATGTGTGTGCAAATTACTGTTTTTACTTTGTACATCATGGATTTTTTCTGTATTTAAGTTTAGCATGTGTTGAGTCTTTCACCTCAGTCTTGAGCTCTAGCTGGTAGCGAGACATATGCGCTCTGGTTCTTCAGTACCAGCGGCCGCCATTGATGCCATTTGGTTCCTCTGGGCACATCTGCGCCACTCACCCGCCACATACTCCACCATCATAAGCCGCACCATGGTGAAGCTCGCAAAGGCTGGTAAAGATCAAGGTGACCCCAAGAAAATGGCTCCTCCTCCAAAGAAAGTAGAGGAAGATAGTGAAGATTAGGAAATATCAGATGAAGAAGATGAAAGCCGTGGAGAAGAGATTATTATTCCTCAGAAAAAAACCAAGAAGACTACCATAACTCCAGGAAAGAAGGTGATGGTTTCCCCAACAAAAAAGATTGCAGTTGCCACACCAGGCAAGAAAGCAGTTGTCACCCCTGGCAAAAGGCAGTGGCTGTGCCAACCCCTGGCAAAAAGGCAGCAGCTACACCAGCCAAAGCATTAGCCACACCTGGTAAGAAGGGAGGCACACTAGGCAAAGCATTAGTAGCAACTCCTGGTAAGAAGGGAGCAGCCATCCCAGTCAAGGGAGCAAAGAATGGCAAGAATGCCAAGAAGGAAGATAGTGATGAGGAAGATGATGACGACAGTAAAGAGGAGGAGGATGATGATGAGGAGGATGAGGATGAAGATAAAGATGAAATTCAGTCAGCAGTGATGAAAGCTACTGCTGCTGCTCCTGCCTCAGATGATGGGGATGATGATGAAGATGAGGATGAAGATGAGGATGAGGATGATGAAGAAAAAGATGACTCTGAAGAAGAACCAATGGAGATTGCACCAGCCAAAGGCAAGAAAGGTCCTGTAAAAGCTGTTCCTATGAAGGCTAAGAGCACAGCTGAGGATGAAGATGAGGAGGACAATGAAGATGAGGAGGATGACGATGAAGATGATGAGGAGGACGATGAAGATGAGGATGATGAGGAAGAGGAGGAGGAAGAGCCTGTCAAAGAAGCACCTGGAAAACGAAAGAAGGAAATGGCCAAACAGAAAGCTGCTCCTGAGGCCAAGAAACAGAAAGTGGAAGCCACAGAACCTACTACAGCTCTTTGTTGGAAACCTGAACTTCCCCAAATCTGCTCCTGAATTAAAAACAAGTATCAGTGATGTTTTTGCTAAAAATGATCTTGCTGTTGTGGATGTCAGAATTGGTGTGTCCAGGAAGTTTGGCTATGTGAATTTTGAATCTGCTGAGGACCTGGAAAAAGCCTTAGAACTCACTCATTTAAAAGTCTTTGGCAATGAAATTAAACTAGAAAAACCTAAGGGAAAAGACAGTAAAAAAGATAGAGATGTAAGAACACTTTTAGCAAAAAG